CTTTAAGTCGACAATTATTAGTCATTGAGAGGGCGTACGTTGAGAATATGTTCATTATTTATTAAAACTACTGATTCTATACTCGATCGTGCAATATCGCAAGTTATCAGTTTAAACACCAAGTTAACGCCTGACAAAGTGATACTGTTTAGAGATTGCGGAAACATTTCGAACTACTAGATACATAACCCAATCGGGTTAAGTACATTGTACATTATTTTGTTGCAGATTAGATCAATTACAGTGATAACTCTCCTTGTAACATTTAACCAATTGTCCCTACATAACAGAGGCGCAAAAATAGTGTTGACCTTTTCGAGTCCAATTTAATACTTTCTACTGAATATTCGTCTAAATATCACTCCAAAACTTTTAATAATTAATCTACACGGAGAAAATTTGTTCCTTATATTTTACCGAACTATTCAGTAAATATAAATGTAGCAAACACTTATCTTACGTTTTACCGAACTATTCAGTAAATTTGAATGTAGCGAACACTTAACTTACGTTTTACCGAACTATTCAGTAAATATAAATGTAGTGAACTATCTTACGTTTTACCGAACTGTAAGTGAAGCTCTAAAACATGTATCGTAAGGTTTATGCTTCTTACATTATTATTTAATGCAATTGCTTCTCCAGTCCATTTCTTGCAAAATTACTGTTTTGACACTTCATCCCAGTTTTACCGAACTAAATTCAGTAAAATTTATAAATTTCATGAAATAAATTTTCTCCGTGTACAAAAGATCCAGAGTGAATAATTTTTGTGAAATACTTGTTGTCTTACTTTTTGCCTTGAAAAATCTCTTGTTTGTTCAATACTTTGAATACATTAAATTAGAATGTTTCATAATTACAAAAGAGAGAGAGAGAGAGAGAGAGAGAGAGAGAGAGAGAGAGAGAGAGAGAGAGAGAGAGAGAGAGAGAGAGAGGTCATTTTTTTTCATGAGTGTTTGGCTACATTATGTGATGCTTATGCGTGTAGCTTATGGTTTTGAACTGAACGCAAAAGATCAGTAATGTATTCCAGAATTTCGTAATGGGACACTCGAGTATACACCCAGAGAAAAAAGTTATTTATTTTAACTAAAAGTGTATATTTAAGAAAAATTTATTTGTTGCAAATAAATATTTTATTTAAAATAAATAAACTAATATTTATTTCAAATAAATGCACTAATTAATCTAAAATAAAGAAATATATTTGCAATTTATGAAATAGTATATTTGTAGCAAATAAAAAATATATTTGATTCAAATAAATGTTTGTTTGACTTATAAGTAGACGCCTGCGCATATTGCATTGCTATAGTAAAACAATAAGATGTTTTGCTTTTAACAGTTTAACGCGTACAATTATAAGAGGTTTATTCATCATGAATAGTTAACAAATTTAATTGATTTAAGTACAGAATTTTTCTTTTTAAGTGAAAATTTTAATTAGTACAAAGTAACAGATTTGTATGTGATTTCATTTACATTTTAGTGTCTTATTTGAGATTTTGTGAGAAAAATGTGACAGTGGACTTTTACATATGAAGTGAAAAAGTAAAGTAAAATGACTAACAATAAAAAAACCTGACTTTATTTAACAAATATTCTTATAAAAATAAACATTTATTTTAATGAATATTAAAAGTTCCATTAGTGATTGTGATTGTTAAATTTATTTGAAGGTTATAAGTGAATTTTAATATTTTAGAATGCTTACAGGATTTATTAAAATGAAAAGTGTTTTTTATTTGTTCTAAATATAAAATATATTTAAAGAAAATATAAAATTTTTTTCATTTAAATAAAAAATGGATATTTAAACGAAATATATTAATTCAAATAAAAAATATTATTTGAGCTAAATAAAAGTTTAGTTGGTTCTGTGACAAATATCCTTTTTTATTTGTTTGAAATAAATTTTATTTAATTCAAATAAATCATTTCTCTAGGTGTAGTCAATACTTGAGCAGTGTGTATATATACATGTAAAACACAAGAGTCATGTACACGAATATATACAATAGAATGTGTAGTGTATCTGTCCACCTGACTCTGACGTCAGGAGCAAGGAAGAAGTTGAACGACCTTTACAACTTACCAGACTGTACTTTGTAGCTTCAGTTACAAACTTAGGGTATTAGAAACCAACTATTCCACCCACTATCTTCCTCCGAGTATGTTGAGTTTATTCCTTTTTTTTTATAGTCTGCAAATAAATTTTTATCAACCTATATTCTTGCGTATACAACAGCGGAAATACAATTTTGTTTATTTTCTTTATTTTTCTGTAGTCTGTTTAATAATAATATTGTACAAGTGATTTGTTTTATTGTTTTATCGATATTTGAAAAAAAGAAACGACAATTGCTTTTCAACTCGCGGTGATTTATGAAAGAGTGTTGTAAATAAATAATTATTCACAATGATGTCTCGACAGTTGTCATTTAAAGTCTATTTAACAGATAGTACAGACCAAGTTATGTAAAACGAATACTATGTTGAGTCTGTCGTATACAAGCAGAATCGTTCGTCATTATAGAAACTTTACATTTTGCAATATTAATTTTTAGTTCAAACTTTGAATTTGGGTCGAAATTTTCTGGTTTCTCTGTTTTTTCTCAGAGATGAAAAAGTAGATAAAAAATGATAATTGCGAAAACATTATTACATGTTTTGTAACAATTAAAGATTATCAAGTGATTAAATTTATATAATTAAATATATGTAGGTAATCAAATTCAATTATTGTCAAAAATTTTAGTAAAATTCTTCGCAAAGATTCAATTATTTTTAGAAATAGCAAAGTTTTTTTTCAGAATTTTAATTATTTTAAAAAAATAAAACAAAATTCTTTTCAGCATTTCAATTATTTTTAAAAAATATAACAAAATTCTTTTCAGAGTTTCAATTATTTAAAAAAAAAAATATATGTATATAATAAAATTCTTTGCTGCGATTCAATTATTAAAAATTATTACAATTTTAACTAAAATTCACTTTTAAATAAATTTTTATTAGAAAATTTATATAATAAAATTTTTAACATCATTATTTTATATTATAAGAATATTGTTGCTGTAACTTCTTAAAAATTATTTTCATCAATTCAATTCAATTATTATTTTTTACAATTTTTAACTAAATTTCCTCTTTAAATCAATTATTATTATCATTAATTTTTGAAAAAATCTTTGAGAATTTTCGAATCCATTTGTTTACAATTCAATTTTACGAAATTTCGTCGATTATTCGGAAATTCTTCAATTGTATATTAAAAAATAAAAACTTCAAGTAAATTTTAAAAAAAATCAATTAAACATTTTCAAAAAAAATAATTCTACAGAATTGTTAGTTAAAAGTATGAAAAATGAAGATTTTCAAAGATTTTAATTTGAAACCTTTTCAAAATTCAGTTATTTCTAAAAATTACAAGTATTTATAACTTCGACAAAATTAAATTATTTTCTAGAAAATTTTTAAGTAAAGTTCTTCTGTAAATCAATTATTTTTAATAAATAAAAAAAAAAAATTTTTTTAATTTTAAATTGAAATTTAATTTTTTAAAAATATTCTTAGCAAGAATACAATTTTCTTAAAAAATAATAAAACTCTTCGCAGGAATTCAATTATTTAAAAAAAAATTGTAATAACATTGTTGACAAAAATTTAATTATCTTTAAAAATAGTAAAATTCTTCTCAGAAATTCAATCATTGTCAAAAATTTTAATAAAATTCTTTGCAAAAATTCAATTGTCTTGAGAAATAACAAAATTCTTCACAGAATTTCAATTATTTTCAATAAATATAATATAATTCTTTGCTGCAATTCAATTATTTTTTTAAGAATTCGATTAAAATTGTATTAAAAATAATTGAAATTCAGCGATGAGTTTAATTATATATGTAAATCAATTATTTTTAATAAATAAAAAAAAATTTATTTTTAGTTTTAAATTGAAACCTATTGAAATTCAACTATTTTCAAAAATATTCTTAGCAAGAATACAATTTTCTTTAAAATTAATAAAATTCTTTGCAGGAATTCAATTATTTTAAAAAATATTGATAAAATTATTCTAAACAATTCAATTATTTTCAAATTGTAATAACATTCTTGACAAGAATTTAATTATCTTTAAAAATAGTAAAATTCTTCTCAAAAATTCAATTATTGTCAAAAATGTTAACACATTTTTTTGGAAAGATTCAATTATCTTGAGAAATAACAAAATTCTTTAATTTCAATAATTATTTTCCAAAAAATAATAATAAAATTTTCTGCTGCAATTCAATTATTTCTAAAAATTCATGATATAATGCTTTATTCAATTATTCACTAAAATTTTAACTAAAATTCATTTTTAAATTAATTTTTATTAAAAAATTCTAGGCGAATTCAATTCTGTATTTAAATACAAAAAATATAATTTATTGAATAATGGAGTGTTTCTTAAAATTGAATTCTCATGAAAAATTTTATCACCAAGTTTTTAAATAATTGAATTTTATTGACGAATTTTAATAAAATTATTAAGAATTTTTAAAAGTATCATTTTTCGAGGAATTTGATTAAAATTGTATTTAAAAAAAAAATTTTAATTCTGCGACGAGTGTGTTATTTATGAAAATAATTGAATTATTGCGAAGAGATTTCTAAAAAAATTTGTATATAATTGTATTCCTGCGAAATTTTTATCATTTAATTTATGAGATAATAATTGAATATATTTGCGTAGAATTTTATTAAAATGTTTGAAAATATTTGAATTTTAAAGAAGAATTTTATTATTTATAAAGATAATTGAAATTTTGACGAGAATTTAAAAAAATTTTTGAACATAATTTGAATTTGTGCAAAGAATTTTATTACTTTTTAAACTAATTAAATTTCTGATGCAATCATTTGTAACTTCTCCAAAATTCAATTTTTTTAGTCTTTTTAACTAAAGTTCTAATAATTCGTTATAGTATTTAAAAAAATTTGTATTTTCTATTTCAGATTACTCCCTGTAATACTCCAGCGACACCTCCAAATTTTCCTGACGCATTATTAGCCTTCTCCAAAATGTCAGCGGGAGAAAAAACGCCCTCGGGTAAGCAAATCTTGGCTTTTTTTTCCTTCTTTATAATTTTATGTACATATACACGATTAGTCAGATTCGTTGACTCAACTTGAGAATATTTGATTGGCCTAGATATCAGAAAAAGAAAACATTCGTTTAAACTCAACATCTAGCATATATCGTAAATAGATAAAAAGTAAATATTGATAAAAGTTATAACTTTAAATTCAGTCATTTCGTAAATGATGTGCATTTTCATTAGAATTTTCTTCACACCAAAGAGACTGCATTTGTTTTACAAAACATCAAGTATTTTTATTTACACCTGTTCAAGTCGCGCACTTGTTATAAGTTTTAAGAGATTCTTTATTAACTCCAGTCACGCCACAGGTCTTGCATAATTTTTTTTAAAGAGTCCATCAATCAATAATTTTATTGTGGGGAAAATTTATTAACACGCGGAACGAATTTCTATATATTAATTACAATTTTCATCTGAACCAATAGTGTTTATTCTTAAAAATTTAATTCCACCTTAAATATTTCAAAATTAATTCAATTTAAAAAAAATTGTGTTTACAATTTTCATAAGTAGATGAACTTCAAAAGATTTTGATTTAAAATTTTGTAAAATTTCAATTTTAAATTAATTTAATTCGAAATATAAAAAACTTAGATATAAAAAAAATTTTTAAAACTAAAATTCTTCTAAAATTAGTTAAATTTTTTAATATTTATATTTAATTGATTATAAAAAATAATGGATTTATAGAAGAGTTTTAGTTAAAAACACTAAAACAAATTAAATTTTGAAGCAATTACAAATGATTGCAGAAATTCAATTATTTACAAAAATAGTAAAATTCTTCTCAAAAATTCAATTATTTTCAAAATTTTTCATAAAATTCTTGGCAAAATTTCAATTATTTTCAAAAACTTTTCGCAATTGAATGATTTTTAATATCTACTACTTTAATAAAAATTCCTAAAAGAATTCAATTAGTTAAAAAAAATTCTAATAAAATTCTACGCAAACATTTAATTATTTTCATAAAAAATAAAATTTTCACAGGAATTCAATTATTTACAAATTATTCTCATATATTATTCAATTGTTTTTATAAATAATAACATTTTTTACAGGGATTCGATTATTTTCGTAAATAATAAAACTCAATACTGATTTTCATTTATTTTTAATACAATTTTAATAGAATTCCTCGAAAAAAGTTATTATTCTTAAAAATTTTATTAAAATTTACCAAAGAAATTTAATTATTTTAATAACCATTGCTACAATTTATTTATTAGAATTTAAGTATTATTTTCAATACATTTTTAATTAAATTTCTTTAAAGGATAAAATTATTTTCAAAAATTTTAATGAAATTATTTGCGTAACAATTCAATTTTTTTCAAAATAATTTTAATAGAATTCTTCGCAGAAATCCAATTATGTTTAAAAATTTACAAAAATTCTTCTCCAAAATTCAATTATTTTAAAAAAATTTGAAAATATTTTTCTAAAGGATTCAATTATATCTTCAGAAATAACAAAATTCTTTACAGGATTTCAATTATTTAAAAAAAAAATAATAAAACTCTTCGCAGGAATTCAATTTTCTTAAAAAATAATAAAACTCTTCGCAGGAATTCAATTATTTAAAAAAAAGTGTAATAACATTCTTGAAAAGAATTTAATTATCTTTAAAAATAGTAAAATTCTTCACACAAATCCAATTATGCTTTCAAATTTACAAAAATTTTTTGAAAAATTCAATTATTTTCATAAATAATATTCATCAAAAGAATTCAATTATTTTCAAGAATTTTAACGAAAATCTTAAATTGGCAACAATTCAATTATCTTTATAAATAATAAAGTTCTTAAAAGCAATTCAATTATTTTTAGGAATTTTAAGAAGAATTCTTTACAGAATTCAATTATATTTATAAATAACAAAATTCTTTACAGGATTTCAATTATTTTCAAAAGTAAAAAAATCCTTCTGATAAATTCAATTATTTACAAAAATTTGACTAAAATTCATTGCAGGAATTAAATTATTTTCACAAATAATAAAATTCTTCTCCGAAATTCAATTATTTTTAAGAATTCCAATAAAATTTTTTGCAAATTCAATTATTTTCACACATAATAAAATTCTTTACAAGCATTAAATTATTTTCATAATCAATAAAATTCTTCGTAGGAATGAAATTATTTTTTAAAAAAATTAACTAAAATTCTTCACAAGAATTCAAATACTCAAATAATTTTTACTAAAATTCATTTTAAGAATTTAATTATTTTCATAGATAATAAAATTTCTTTTGACGATTCAATTATTTTTTTCGACGAATTTTAATTATTTTTAATACAAATTTCATAAATTTTCTCGAAAAATGCAATTATTCTTAAAAATTTGATTAAAATTTGTCAAGAGAATTCAACTATTAAAAAATTTGTTGACAAAATTTTTTATGAAAACTCAATTTTAAGAAACAATCAATTGTTTAATAAAATATTTATTTTTATAATTAAATACTTGAATTCTCAAGTAGAATTTTCTAATAAATATTGATTTAAAAATGAATTTCAAATTAGAATAATGATTAAATATTTATTTAAAAATTAAGTTATTGATGTTTTCGAATAATTTTCGTTTTTAAAAACCTGGAAAAATTCCTTTTTTTAACCTGGAAAAGTCAGGGAATATGAAAAGAGCAAAAGCGTGGCAACCCTGAAACAAGACTCAATATTTGTTTAATGATTAATTTATTTTTTTCGAAATTGTCATTTAATTTTTTTCTAATCCATAAATTTTAGTGGAAGAAATGAAAAGAAAAATTCTTTTATTTACCTCTCCCTTTCTCTATTTAGTCCGCAAGTATTGATTCCTTACAGGAAGTTACTTCTGAAAGAGAATAACAACATCGGTTGAGAGTTCAAAATTTTTTAGACAAGAATCTTTTTATCTTCTTTTTAGTATTTTTTTTTACCTTTTTCCCCTGAATTTTTGAATGACAAAAAGAATAAATTGTTTATAAAAATTTACTACAGTTTATGTTTTTTTACGCAATTCTATAGTTATGAAAAACAGAAAAAAAATGAGAATGGATAGAATTACAATTTAATTTTTTCGAAATCAAGTTAAAGTATCATATTATCTTACTGATGGAAATAAATTATACAATGACTGGCAATGATTAGTAATTCAAGTCAAATAAACTAATGAAAAAAATACTAGAAATGCGGAAGTTCGTTGGCAAATGTCGCTTTAAGAGATTACGACATTTTACCATTTTACCATTTCCACTTATTACTTTTATAATACAACCGTCATTCATATCTCTTGTATTTTCCTTATCTGAATTCGTTAAATGTATTCTTCTTCCGTTTATGTTTTAAAGCTTCTCACTCTTAGGCGTAATGAACTTTCTTAACGGTACCTACAAGTTTCAAGTAATTTAAATATGTACTCATAAAAATCATCATAGCAACCATTAAATGAATCAGAACATTTAATATTAAAAAAAATAGTAAGAATTCAGAAAATTTCCAATTCCCCTTTAATCCTGCGCCGCAATGGCCGCAATAGGTGGGAATCCAGTTTTTCATCTTCATTTCTATTTTTGCCTTCGTTTTAACCTCTTGGATTAAAAAAAAAAAGTTTATGATAGTAGAGAAAAAAAGTAGAGTGACACTCTGCGACAAAAGGTATATTATTTGTCAGTTTTAAAGTTTAGAGTGAAAATAAAAGAATTGAATATGTAATCACTTTTTGTTTCGAAGGAATTAATATTTATTAATTTATGTACTCATTACCGGCGAAATGTTCAATAAAAAGTGTTTCTGATTTCAAAAATCAAATTCGAATATTTAATAAAGCAAAAACTTTTTTCTTTTGTTTTTAAAATTTAAACTACTTTAAATTCGCTAATACTTAATTGAAATAAAAAAAATTGTTCTCCAACATTTTAATAAAATTCTTCGAAACCATTTAATTTTTATCAAATATTTTCAGAAAATTTTGTTTCGAGAATTGAATTATTTTCCCAAATAATAAAATTATTCTTGTCTGAAATTCAATTATTTTCAATATTTATACTATATTTTAATAAAATTTCACAATAGAATTATTCAATTATTTAAAAAAGATTTTAATCAAATTCTTGGCAACGTTCATAAATAAAAAAACTTATCGCAGAATTTCAATTATTTTCAAAATAATTTTGATAAAATTCTAAGCAACATTTCAATTATTTTCGAAAATTTTCATCATTTCAGTTACATATTTTTAATATCTACTATTTTTAATAAAATTTTTCAAAATAATTCAATTATTTAAACAAAATTTTAATAAAAATTTCACAGGAATTCAATTATTTAAAAAAATAATAATAAAATTATTTACAGAAATTCAATTGTTTTCATCAATAATGAAAGTTTTCATAAGAAATCAATTATATTCATAAATAACAAAGTTCTTTTGAAAATTTTGATTATTTCAATTATTTTTCAAAATTTTTAAATAAATTCCTCAAAAAATACAATTTTATTTCAAAATTTTATTGAAATTCTTTGAAAAATGTAAAAAAAAATTCTTAAAAATGTTATTAAAATTCTTTGAAAGAATTCAATTGTTTTTTAAATTTTAGATAAAATATTTTACAAGAATTCAATTTTAAAAAAGCAATTATGCAAACAATTATTTATTTTAGAATTTAAATACCTAATTGAATTTTCATAGAACTTTTTAGCAAGAATTGAATTAAAAATAAGTTCCACGTAAAATCTTAGATAATAATTGAATTTTTAACAACAATTAAATTTCAAATGATTTTAAATTGTCTATTTTTGAAAACTTTAATTTTTGTAAAACTAATAATATCTAAATATTTATTATAAAAAATTAATTATTTGTTATTTTCCTAAAAAAAAATTATTGAAGTCTTGAATGATTATTATTTAAAAATCCTAACAAAAATAATTGAATTTTGGAACAGTTATGTAGTTCTATAATTTTTAGAAATAATTAAATTTTGAAAAAGGTTTTTCATTTGAAATTATTTAAAATATTAATTGCTGTGAAAAAATAAATGAGTATTTAAATCTTTATTTAGCATAAATTATTTAATTATTTGTATTTTAATTTCGAAATTATTAAAAAAAATTACTCTTTTAAAATAATCTAATTTAAAAAGATTAAATTAAATATCCAATTAATTGGAAATTTTTGCAAATTTAATTGAAATTCTTTATATTTTAATGAATTTTATGTTTTTATTTAAAAAATTCCCAATTTATTAGTTATCTATATTTTTTATTTAAAAAAAAATTCATTTTTATATAAAATTGTATTTTTGAAGAATTCTAACTAAAAATATACATTACAATAATCGTAAGTTTCCTTTCCGTTAGCAAATTATCTGCATTCATTTGTTTGTTTTAAAAATTAAATTTTGTGGGTTAAGTATTGGCATTTTTTATATATTTTTAATGTCAAACTTTTTAATGTGGAAAATACTTTACTTATTAAATTGTCTCGACTCTTTGGTAAAATATCTAACATTACCAAAAATTCGAAAAATTTCAAAAATCCGTTTTTCTTAAAATTCAACATTTTTTCCTCCCTTTTATGGGATTTAGCTTCATTATTTTTGTGCTTTTAGAAAATACTTTACTTATTAAATTGTCTCGACTCTTTGATAAAAAATCTAAAATTATCAAAAATTCGAAAAATTTCAAAAATCCGAATTTCTAAAAATTCAACATTTTTTCTTCTCTTTAATTTGATTTAGCTTCATTATTTTTGTGCTTTTGAAAAGTACTTTACTTATTTAATACTCTCGACTCTTTGGTAAAAAATCTAAAATTATCGAAAATTATCAAAAATTCAAAAATCCGAATTTCTAAAAATTCAACATTTTTTCCTCTCTTTTATTGGATTTAGCTTAATTATTTTTGTGCTTTTGAAAAATACTTTACTTATTAAATTGTCTCGACTCTTTGGTAAAAAATCTAAAATTATGTAAAATTATCAAAAATTCAAATATCCGAATTTCTAAAAATTCAACATTTTTTCTTCTCTTTAATTTGATTTAGCTTCATTATTTTTGTGCTTTTGAAAAGTACTTTACTTATTTAATACTCTCGACTCTTTGGTAAAAAATCTAAAATTATCGAAAATTATCAAAAATTCAAAAATCCGATTTTCTTAAAATTCAACATTTTTTTTCTCTCTTTTATGGGATTTAGCTTTATTATTTTTGTGCTTTTGGAAAATACTTTACTTATTAAATTGTCTCGAATTTTTGGTAAAAAATCTAAAATTATCAAAAATTCGAAAAATTTCAAAAATCCGAATTTCTTAAAATTCAACATTTTTTCCTCTCTTTTATGGGATTTAGCTTCATTATTTTTGTGCTTTTGGAAAATACTTTACTTATTAAATTGTCTCGACTCTTTGGTAAAAAATGTGAAATTATCGAAAATTATCAAAAATTCAAAAATCCGAATTTCTTAAAATTCAACATTTTTTCCTCTCTTTTATAAGAATTAGCTTCATTATTTTTGTGCTTTTGAAAAATACTTTACTTATTAAATTGTCTCGAATCTTTGGTAAAAAATCTAAAATTATCAAAAATTCGAAAAAAATCAAAAATCCGATTTTCTTAAAATTCAACATTTTTTTTCTCTCTTTTATGGGATTTAGCTTTATTATTTTTGTGCTTTTGGAAAATACTTTACTTATTAAATTGTCTCGAATTTTTGGTAAAAAATCTAAAATTATCAAAAATTCGAAAAATTTCAAAAATCCGAATTTCTAAAAATTCAACATTTTTTCCTCTCTTTTATGGGATTTAGCTTCATTATTTTTGTGCTTTTGGAAAATACTTTACTTATTAAATTGTCTCGACTCTTTGGTAAAAAATGTGAAATTATCGAAAATTATCAAAAATTCAAAAATCCGAATTTCTTAAAAATCAACATTTTTTCCTCTCTTTTATGGGATTTAGCTTTATTATTTTTGTGCTTTTGAAAAATACTTTACTTATTAAATTGTCTCGACTCTTTGGTAAAAAATCTAAAATTATCAAAAATTCGAAAAATTTCAAAAATCCGAATTTCTAAAAATTCAACATTTTTTCTTCTCTTTAATGGGATTTAGCTTCATTATTTTTGTGCTTTTAAAAAATACTTTACCTATTAAATTGTCTCGAATTTTTAGTAAAAAATCTAAAATTATCAAAAATTCGAAAAATTTCAAAAATCCGAATTTCTAAAAATTCAACATTTTTTCCTCTCTTTTATGGGATTTAGCTTCATTATTTTTGTGCTTTTGGAAAATACTTTACTTATTAAATTGTCTCGACTCTTTGGTAAAAAATGTGAAATTATCGAAAATTATCAAAAATTCAAAAATCCGAATTTCTTAAAATTCAACATTTTTTCCTCTCTTTTATGGGATTTAGCTTAATTATTTTTGTGCTTTTGAAAAATACTTTACTTATTAAGTTGTCTCGACTCTTCGGTAAAAAATCTAAAATTATCAAAAATCATCAAAAATCCGAAAAATCGAATTTCTTAAAATTCTTTATTTTTTCTTTTCTTTTATGCCATTTAGCTTTATTATTATTTGAATTTTTATTCAAGATAAAAAATGGAAAACTGAAAAAATTTAGAAACTTTTAAAAATTCCAGGCCTTTTCCATGATTTCCCTGATTTCCAGATTCTGTAGGAACCCTGCTTTTGTCTGACTTTCTTCTAAATTGTCGAATTCAGTGATTTCTGGGGTGAATTTGGTTAAGTTGTAAAATGATTAATTTCTATTTGAATTCGTTTTTTTTGAATGTAGAAAATCTTATGTTAATTTAATTCTTTTTTCGTTATGCACGGCAAAAAATATTTAGCTGGATGAACTACAGATTTGACTTTAGTAGCGAAATTTTTCAGTGCTTCAATTAATACTTTCGTTATTCTAGAGAAACTTATCGCTATTTCAAGTAAAACTTTTTTCAGTGTGTAATAATTATTATTTCTTTAAAAAGTATTTAATTTAAAATGGCTTTATAAAATAAGCAATGCAAAAGATGACCCAGATACTAATTGTAATTGTTCTAGCCATAGTTTAAGTCTAGTAATGTAAATTCTATTTAAATTGAGACCATTGAGTGAAATTATTTGATTTTTAGTTAGTTAAATCTCTTTGTTAGGTTATAATAATTATTTCTTTAAAATTTTTTAAATTGTTTAAAATAAGCAGCCCCATACAACATTCCCGCGCGCTTGCGCGCGGATAGTTTGGCTAGTTTGGAAAATAATTAAAGGTTACAAAAATTTAGAATTCATGCAACAAATTTTATAAATTATAAAAATAATTGAGGTTTTGCTAACAATTTAATTCAAATTTTTGAAAATAATGGAATTTTTTCTGGGAATTTAATTAAAATTGTATTGAAAATATCTTAATTTTCATTAAGAAATTTAATCAAATTTTTTGAAAATAATTGAATTTTTGAGAAGAATATCATGAAATTTTCAAAAATAATTGAATTCTTTTGAGGAATTTTATTGCAATTGAATTGAAAATAATTGAATTCCTGCGAAAAATTTTATTACATTTATTTAAAACAATAAATTTATCAGTAAAAATTAATTGGTAAATTAGTTAATAATCGAATTTCTTTGTCAAATTTAATTGAAATAAATTTTAATTTTAAAGAAGTTAATATTTTTTTTTTTTATTTAAAAAATTATTTTTAAACACAATCTTGTTTTTCAAGAATTTTAACCAATAGTTTGGAAAATAATTTAATTTTTGAGAAGAAGTTTATGAAATTTTTAATAATTGAATTCTTCTGAGGAATTTTATTAAAATTGCATTGAAAATAATTTAGTTTCTGCGAAAAATTTTATTAAACTTTTGGAAAAGAATAAATAATTATAATTGATTGGTAAATTAGTGATTAATAGAATTTTTTGTCAAATTGAATTGAAATAAATTTGAATTGTAAAGCATTTCTTTTTTTTTTGCTTTTAAAAATTATTTGAAAATATAATCCTATTTTTGAAGAATTCTAACCAAAATTTTGGAAAATAATTGAATTTTTGAAAAATTTGGAATTAAAGTTATTACAAAGTGAATATTTTTTTAATGGAAATTGAAAAAAAGTCAGGGAACTGAATCAAAATTTTATTAATCGACCTAAACTAATTTTTTTAGTCGTCGAATTTTATTTTTTTAAAGCTTCTTTTTCTAGTCTTCAAACTATTTTTTGCTACTTTTTATAAATTAATTATTGAGTTCAAAGACTGCTTTTTTCTGCAGATATTAAATTGAGACAAAAAGAGAATCAAAAGGTTGCGAAGCAACATTTTTGATTTGATTTTTGTCTCAATTTGATATCTGCAGAAAAATTGATATTATTTATGCATTTTTAGGTCTATTGAATAAATTTGCAAAAATGATAATAAATAATAATAAAAATTAAAAATAATAATAATAATAATAATAATAAATAATAATAAATAATAATAAATTTTGTTAATTTCAGGAATGTCTCCAAGTCAAAACGGTCACATGTCCCAGCAACAGCAACAGACAGCAGCACAACATCACGCAAGTCGATGTAGTATCTCCGGTGGAACACAACAAAAAACTCAAAATCAACAACAATTCGGTCTTGGCGAGCCGCAGAGATAAAGAATGTTACATTTTGCCTTTGCACTATGTGTTTCATCGATCGCAGAAAAAAAACTTATTGCAATGGCGCGTTCTAGTAGAAACAAAGTGAGGAAGCATCGATGGACCGCAAATGCTGACAATATTCACAAAAGTATAAAAAAAGCCTAAAAAAAACTGATTGTCTCACAATCAGAACTTTATAAAGGCACAATGAAAAACAAAAATGATAAAATGAGCTTAAATGAATTTGTTTCTCCATCCCATAATCAGATGCTTCTCTGTGGAGGTTCATCAACTCGGACACAAAAAAAACATTCTAAGTTTCAAACGACTCAAAGATGCATATGAAGATTGATTTCAAACGCCATAGGGGGAAAAAAAGTGAAGAGAGAATAAAAATTATAAAGACAATGGTTACGTTAGCAATTAAATAATCATTTTTCTACTGCTTCATCATGTATTCTTGGTTTCAAAGAAAACTTTTGCCGTATTGTTTTTTTTTTCTGGCTGAGCCACAACAATGGATATCTTCTCCACGATGACAAGAATGATAGGGGGGGAGGATGAGAGTGTAAGTGTGTGAGAGAAAGAGTGCATGAGACAAGTTGTTCCGTGTTTTTCGCCGAATTTGCGAAAAAATTTTAAGGTCGGAGAGAGGCTCACATCGAGGATTTTGTCGAAACCTACCGCTTAACAATTTTATCGACTGAATCTCGACAAAGTTAGGTAGGGGAAAATATACTGGTCCTTATTTACAGAGTTGGGCTGTGTTAAACAAAAATTATTTGCACTGGAGAAAATAAAGAGCGACAAATTTCGCTGAATAATGTGTCATATGTTACTTGTACGAAATATAATTCAAAAGTGACTGCAATCGATTCTATTCGAAGAATCAAGACTTGTAAACAAAAAAATCCAAATACAATTCTTAAATTGATGACCATAAAAAATATTTCTATCTGCTTCTATCTCTTTTACGAATCGATATTTAAATGAAGAATGTCCGTAAAAAAATCATGTAGAAATTCTATCTATCAATTCTATAGACGGACTTTTTTTATTTTTTCTTCCTTTTCGATCTCGTATTAAAGCTCGGCATTCTCGGACAATAATCCTTGAATATCCTGTTTTCCTTCGTAAATATTATCTCTGTACACTATTAGAATAGCGATAAAAAAAAATGTTTATCTCTTCGCAATATAATAAATATAACGAGGAGTATTATTTTGTCAATTCACCGTAGGTGAAATAAACTAAAAAATAGTGACTTTGGACGTCTTTCTTATATGTGTATTGGATTATGGAAGATTTTATGAAAGAACTTTAAATATTTCTTTCCCTTCTTTTTTGTTGGTTATTATTATTATTATTATTTCTTTTTTCTTTTTTCTTTTTTGAAAAATGTGTACAGATTTTGAAAATTATTTACAATCGTCGAACGATTATGAAATAAAAACAACGTTCCCCTCTCGCGATACGTATTTTAAATGTTCTCGAGCGGTCCCTCGTGCTTATGAATTTAGATTATTATACGACGATTATGTTAATATTATTATTATTATATTATACTATTGTTTATTTGTCTATTATTATAAATAATGTTCATGTACATACTTATGAAAAAAAAAAATATTATCTAAATAAAATCATTAATAATGGTGCTTTCATAGACAAATTGTTATTCCTTTGTTTACATTCTTTTTTCTTTGTAAAATTATTTTTACAAAATTATATACAATTTTTATTGTGAATTATAGACAATAATAACTTAAAGTTACTTTTGTACAATCAAAATTTTGCCTCAATGAGGTAACAATGCTTAGCATCATCTTTTTATTGCTAATATAGCATTTTTTCTTTCTTTTTTAAGGATTTTTCACTTTTAAAAATCCAAAGAGATTATATATCAAAAATATATAATCCTAAGAGTATAAATTTAAAAAAATATTAAGGTACTTGTATTTCTTGTCCTAATCCCGTCCATCTGTCGGGAACTGACAAAAAGTAACGATGCATTGCTTCAATGAATCTAGAACGATATTCGGCGGGTGAAACTATTGTTGGAAGTTTACCTTGGCCACCAAGTATTCCTGATTTTTTCACTATTGTCTCTATTTTCTTATCCCAGGTGAATGTTCTTATATAATCTAAGACAAAAAAATAAAAAGTTTATTCCAGTGAAAAAGAATAAAAAGGTTATTCCAGTAAAAAAATAGATTCGAAAAATTTTCAAAATTAAATTTATTCTGGAAATTTGTGTTCTTACCTATTATTCCCAAGACAAGTTCATCTGTATTTGGTTCCAAGCCAACTAAAAGCGAATAATCCATTACACAATTATCGGCCAAAAATTTGGTGTCTTCTTCAATAGCTTTGTTCAAAACTGACTTTGAATGTGGTCGAATGTACAATGGTGAATCACAACTCACTGAAAAGAATAAATTCAAATTGAGAATATTTTTCTAAATAACAAAATATTAAAAATTGTAATTCAATTTGTTCTGTTTATTGAAAAATTTTAATAATGCCAATTCTTCTAAAATTAGTTACATTTTTTCAATATATATTTAATTATTTATTAAACAAAATGGATTTATAGATGAATTTCAATTAAAAACAAGAAAAAAAAATTGAATTTTGGAGAAGTTACAAATGACTGCAAAAAATTCAATTATTTTCAAAAGAAATAAAATTCTTCGCAGAAATTCAATTATATACAAAAATTAAACGAAATTCTCTTTAAAAGTTCAATTATCTTTATAAATAATAACATTCTTTTCCGAAATTCAATTATTTTCAAAAATTTTTATAAAATTTCTTTGCAAAATTCAATTATTTCCATCACAAGAATTCAATTATTTTCAAAAATACAAAAATTCTTTGCAGAAATATAATTATTTTCAAAAATTTTAATGAAAATCACGCCAAGAATTCAATTACTTTTATAACTAGCAAAATTTTTCTCAGAAATTCAATTATTTTTAGGAATTTTAATAAAATTCTTTGCAAAATTCAATTATTTTCATAAATAACAATATTCATCACAATAATTCAAACATTTTCAAGAATTTTAACAAAAATTTTGTCAAGAATTCAATTATATTTATAAATAATAAAATTCTTTCCAGAAATTCAATTATTTTTAGAATTTTTAATAAAATTCTTTGCAAAATTTAATTATTTTCATGAATAACAATGTTCATCACAAGATTTTAATTATTTTCAAAAATTTTAACGAAAATTTTGTCAAGAATTCAATTTTTTTTAAAAGAGCAAAACTCTTGTCAGAAATTCAATTATTTTCAGGAATTTTAATCAAATTTTTTGCAAAATTCAATTATTTTCAAAAATTTTAACGAAATACTTGTCAAGAATTAAAATATATCTATATAAATAACAAAATTCTTTCCATGAATTCAATTATTTAACAAAATTTGACTAAAATTCATTGGAAGAATTAAATTATTTCCACAAGTAATAAAATTCTTCCCAGAAATTCAATTATTTTTAGGAATTTTAGTAAAATTCTAGGCAATGATTGAAGAAATTAAATTATTTTCAAAAGTAATAAAATTCTTCATAAAAATTCAATTATTATGTTCGAAATTTTTTTTAAATTTTCGTAAAAATTCCAATTATATCTTTATTAAACTTCTTCGAAATTCAATTATTTAAAAAAAAATTAATAAAATTCTATACAAACATCTAATTATTTTTATAAATAATGAAAAATTTCACAAGAATTCAATTATTTACAAATTCTTTATAAATTTTTTCACAATAATTCAATTATTTTCATAAATAATTTCAACATCTTACATATTATAACAAAATTCTTTTTAGAAATTCAATCAATTTCATAAATAATTAAACTCATCGCAGAATTTCAATTATTTTTAATACAATTTTAATCGAATTGTACAAAAAATAATTGAATTACAGCAAAGAATTTTAATAAATTTTTTGAAAATATTTTAAATTCTGTAAAGAATTTTGTTATTTCTGAAGATAATTGCATTTTTGCGATGAATTTTATTAAAATTTTTGACAATGATTGAATTTCTGAGAAGAATTTTACTATTCTTGAAGATAATTATTAAATTTTTTTCAACAATATTATTACAATTTTTTAAAAATAATTGAATTGTTTCGAAGAATTTTATTAATTTTTTTTTTAAATAATTGAATTCCTACGAAGAGTTTTATTATTTTTAAAGAAAATTGAATTCTTGCTAAGAATATTTTTGAAAATAATTAAATTTCAATAGGTTAAATTTGAAATTAAAAAGAATTTTTTTATTAATTAAAAATAATTGATTTAGAGAAGAACTGTACTTAAAAGTTTTCTAGAAAATAATTGAATATTGGCGAAGTTACAAATACTTGTAATTTTTAGAAATAACTGAATTTTGAAAAGGTTTCAAATTAAAATCTTTGATAATCTGAATTTTTCATACAAATTTTGTTGAAAAAATTTAATTTAATTTTTTTTTTAATTATTTAAAGATTTTATTTTCTTGTTGTATACTTAATTGAAAAAATTTCCAAATAATCGAAATTTCGTAAAATTGAATTGTAAACAAGTGGATTTGAAAATTCCCAATGAACTTTTTCATAATTTACTAAAAATAAATGATTTAAAGAAGAATTTGAGTTAAAAATTCTAGAAGTTAAAATTTTAGATAATTGAATATTAAAAGCATTATAAAGTAAATTTTTGGAAATAATTGAATTTTTAAAAGGTTTCATATTAAAATCTTTGAATTAGAAAGTAATTGAATTCTGCACGAATTATTGTAATTATTAGAAATAATTTAAATTTAAGAGAATTTACAAATGTAATCTTTGAAAATGTTAATTCTTCTGGAAAAATAAGCAACCATAATTATTTTAAATAATTTAACAAATTGAAAATTGAAAAATCGTAAAACATAATTGAAAATACTTTTTTAAAAGTATTTTAAATAAACTCTTCTATTTTTAAAGTAATTGAATTATCAAAATACTTTTCCAAAATTACTAAAAATAATTGATTTGTAGAGAAATTTTAGTTAAAAATTCTAGAAAAAAATTGAATTTTGGAAAAATTACAGTTACAATTTTTAGAAATATTTAAATTTCAAAAGATTTGAAATTGCAATTTTAAAAAATTTTAACTCTTGTGGAAAAATAAGAAACAATTATTTAAAGTAATTGAACAGAATTAATGAATACAACGATTATTATAATAAGTAAAAGTAATAATAAAGTCCAATAACTTACTATTCAATAAATTTTCATCAAGTAAAACCAATTCCCCTTCTCTGTCAACATCTTCAGGATTTACCAAACGATTCCGCACGGATCCTTTCAAATCAAATTTGTCAGTTATCACTCGGTTGTAGAAAAGATTTTCCATCACTAGAACACTCATACGTAAAGCTGCATTTGTTGTATTGTTCTTGAAAGAAACTCTATAGACTCCGACTATTTTTCCCAAAAGTGTCGGTTGCTTTGTTTGTTGACACTTTTCCATATAGGCAAAATAGTTGGGCGCAAATTCCAAAAATATCTGCATATCGATGCGAGTCATTTCTTTCAGAATAAATCTGTCATCTGCAAATTAATTTAATAAAGTTACTTGTTTTAAAAGAATAATTAAATTATTAAAATATTATTCATTATTCAATGAAATTATTTTTATTATGCTTTAATAATTAATTAAATAATTAAAAAATAAATAGAAAATTGATTATCTTAATTAAATTGAATTATTTAAATTGTCAACTGATTGTAAATTTAATTCCTATGAATTTTAAATTAAAATTAAAAGATAAAAACTTTACAGGAAAATATATTGACCTCGAGTTTTGGAAAAAGTAATTCCACTTTTACCGCCTCGCGCCGCCCATTGAACGCTACGACTCAAACTTCTCGTATAACCATCCTCGCTGCATGGAAGACAATTTTCTCTGAGAGCAGCAAAAAGTACAGGGAAATAAACCCTGCAGTAAAAATTTGTTGTTGCATCATTGAATTGAACTTCGATGTAATTTTGTTGTTTCGTGGTTCGTTTCTCTTCTTCCGTTTCCGAAGAAGCAGGATTCGGATTTTCCAGCGTCGGAGCACCTTTGTCAGTTTCGAGAGGACTTGTCGGATTTGGAGTATTTCCCTTGAGGAAAGAAAGCATCGACGGTCGTTTAAATTCACCAGACTGATTGACTTCTGATAAATTGTCTTTGAATTCCGGAAATTTGCGCTTATACAATGGACTTGGATTCGGTTCTAAGCCCTTGATGTTTCTCAATTGCTCCTGCAGTGCGTGTTTATAATCGTGAGAGTCCAAAGCGTAGGCAATAATCGACGATGGTTCCGATTCGTATACGACTATTGGTACCACAGATCTGCAAATAAATAATTTTTTTACAATTTTATTCTCAAGAGAAAGTGTCACAAAAATAAAAACAAATATCCAAATAGCGTAAAACCAGAAATTCAGGGTTCCCATGCGTTTGCTCTTTTCAATTTCCCTGACTTTTCCAGGTTTTCCAGGTTAAAAAACGGAATTTTTCTAAGTTTTTAAAACGAAAATTATTCGAAAACATTAATAACTTCATTTTTAAATAAATATTTAATCATTATTTTTTTTATAAAAATTAAGATATTCAAAAATTTGAAATTCAATAATAAGAATATTATTATTAAAACTTGCTACTTCATTACTGTTACTTCTTCAAAAATTATTTTCATCATTACGATTATTCATTTCTAGAATTTTCAACTAAAATTCTTCAATTTTTTTTTAAATTTTCGAAAAAGTTCTTTGTGAATTTTCAAATTCTTTTGTTTACAATTTAATTTTACGAAATTTCGATTATTCTGACATTCTTCAATTGAATACCATTAGAAATTAAAAACTTCAAATAATTAAAAAAAATTCCATTAAACTTATTGAGAAAAATTAATTCTAGAGAATTCTTAATTAAAAGTATGAAAAGTTCAAATTTTCAAAGATTTTAATTTGAAATTCATTTTTAAATGAATATTAATTAGAAAATTCTACGAGAATTCAATTATTTAACTATAAAAATAAATATTTTATTAAACAATTTAATGTTTTTTAAAATTGAAATTTCCTATAGAATTTTATCAACAAATTTTTAAATAATTCAATTCTCTTGACAAATTTTCATAAAATTTTTAAGAATAATTGCATTTTTCGAGAAAACTGATGAAAATCGTATTAAAAATAATTGAAATTTTTCGATAAAAATAATTGAATCCTCAAAAGAAATTTAATTATTTATGAAAATAATTAAATTCTTGAAATGAATTTTAGTAAAAATTCTTTAACTAATTAAATTTCTGTGAAGAATTTTAGTCACATTTTTTTTAAATAATTTAATTTTTACGAAGAATTTCATTGATTATAAAAATAATTTAATGCTTGTAAAGAATTTTATTATTTATGAAAATAGTTGAATTCCTGTAAAGAATTTTATTAAAATTCCTCAAAATAATTGAATTTCTCTTAAGAATTTTATTATTTATAAAGATAATTGAATTGTTGACAAGATTTTCGTTAAAATTCTTGAAAATAATTGAATTCTTGTGATGAATATTATTTATGAAAATAATTGAATTTTTCAAAAATTTTTATTAAAATTCCTTAAAATAATTGAATTTCTGATAAGAATTTTGCTATTTTGAATTCTGAACAAGTCTTTCGTAAAAATAATTGAATTATTGGAAAGAATTTCCTTATTTACGAAAATAATTCAATTTTTGAGAAAAATTTTATAACATTTTTTTTTAAATAATTGAATTCGTGTTAAGAATTTCATTATTTACGAAAGTAATTGAATTTTAAGAAGAATTTTGTTAAAATTTTTAAAAATAATAGAATTTTTTAAAAGAATTAAAAAAAAAATTAAAAAAAAAATTAAATTAAAAATTAAATTAAATTAAATTTAAATTAAAATTAAAATTAAAATTAAAATTAAATTAATTAATTTAATTAATTAATTAATTAATTTAAATTTAAATTTTTTAATTTTTTAATTAAATTTAATTAATTAATTAAATTTAATTAATTAATTAAATTAATTAATTAATTAAATTAATTAAAAAAATAAAAATTTTTTAAAATAATTGAATTATTGCGAAGAATTTTATTATTTACGAAAGTAATTCAATTTTAAGAAGAATTTTATTAAAGTTTTTGAAAATAATTAAATTTTTGAGTTGAATTGTACTCAAACTTTTGAAAATAATTGAATTCTTGGAAAGAATTTTATTATTTACGAAAATAATTGAATTTTTTTAGAAGAATTTTAGTAAATTGTTTGTAAATATGTATTTACGAAAGTAATTCAATTTTTAAAAGAACTTTATTAAAATTTTTGAATATAATTGAATTTTTCAGAAGAATTTTATTAAAATTTCTAAAAATAATTGAATTTCTGAGATGAATTTGACTACTTTTGAAAATAATTGAATTTCTGCAATCATTTGTAATTGCTTCGAAATTCAATTTGTTTTAGTGTTTTTAACTAAAATTCTTCTATAAATTCATTATTTTTAATATTCAATTAAATATATATATATTAAAGAATTTAACTAATTTCAGAAGAATTTTGGTTTAAAAAATTTTTTTTAAATCTTAATATTTTACTATTTCTAATTAAATTCATTTAAAATTGAATTAATTTTGAAATATTTAGGTGAAATTAGATTTCAAGAATAAACTTTAGAAAACAACAATTCTCCAGGATTTCGATCAAAATTCCCTGACTTTTCCAAGTTTTTTCAAGGTTTATAAAATTCCCTAAAATTTCCAGGTTTTCCAGGTTTCCAGGTTGCGTATCAACCCTGGAAACTGAAATTAAAAATAAATAGAAATTGAAATTAAAAGTTAAAAAAACGAATTAAGAAGTAAATTTCCAACTGACCCCAAAGGAAGTAAATGATGTTCGATAATTCCCAAAGGATTCAATATCGCATTGTTCGTCGAAATGGAAGGCAACAATTGTGACAAAATAGTCTTCTTCTTCTTTTTCTTATCGGGAATGTCCTCGGAGGTGATGGGCAAGACATCCGAATACGATCTTTGGTGCATTTTTGGCGATTCATGAATGACAACAATCTCCTCCGGATTCGTATTCTCCGGTACTTCGTTATCCGAACTTTCAACAGTATCATTATACTGCGTTTCAGTTTGAACCGAAGAAATAGCATCAACTGCATTATAATCAGCTGACATTGGACTAAGATCCTCGATCTGCGATTCCGAAGCCGTATCTTCGGTAATATATCCATCATTATCGATAACTCCGGTACTATTCGAAGTTAATGATCTCTCCGTAAATTTCCTCGATCTCTCATCCTTCTTCTTCGCCGTAATTTCCGAAATCTTTAAATTCCACTCGGTCACATTCTCCGAAATCAATCTCTTCAAAAGTACAATTCCGTCCTCAATTCTGTGCATCAATAACTGAACCTGACTCTCCGATTTCTTTCCAGCTTGCTTTTTATTCTCCAACGTTGGCGAAGTCAACTTCAACTGGGCTTCTTCAATTTTATTCTTAAAGTACGCCTGATCACGGGACAATTGAATTTTCAATAGATTCAAACTCTCAGGCTCGATGGAAACCACTGCTATTTTCTCCCGAATACTAGAGAAGACTTCATCGCCCTTCAACGCGACATTTTTCATCTCCTCAATAACGTTCGTGTACTGCTTCGGATCGTAGTAAATATTAATCAACGGAGGCGGGAGGGAAATTTCCCACTGAGAAATTTTGTTGTATTTGAAAACAGCCAACATGTTCTTTTTCGAGAAATACTGATAGTGATCGTAGTGAAGAGAATGCTGGCAGGTCTCAACATCCCGTCGTGTGTACATTCCACCGTGAAATCTAAGCTCCAGATATTTAGCGAAAGAGAAGGACCAAGTGTCATCGGTCATCGGAATCACCGGCGAGACACTTTTGCATTTTTCACACTTGCTCCACATGAGAATTTGATTCGCGTTCTCTTGTCCAAAAGGTTCGGTGTTCATTTCAGTGAGGGTGATGTGAACACACCCGCCGTCGTGGGCAAATCTTCGGGCGTGCTGAGCGATTTGGGCTCGACAACCCTCGGCTGGACACTTGTATTCGGTTGTTAGGCAATACCTTTCTAGAAAACGTCCCAAGGCGATGTCGTTTCTACCGTAGAGATCCATATTCACGACCCAGGGATTTACGCAAAACACCGGAGTGTCATTGCTATTGTGCATGAAACTACAGAAGAGGACCGACAAATGCTGATGGCTCATTGGATCCAAACAATCGGCTCTCAAAGGCGTAGGATCTATTACATCCTGGGGAATGTTCACTCTCTTCTTCTCCACACTTCCATTACTCGTCCCCTCTAATCTACTGCCACAAGCCCGAAAATTAGCGAGAAGTGTCTGTACCTCTCGACTATCGGCACTCGACGTTAATTTCGCCTCTATAAACGGATGAGGGGCTTTTAGTTTCAAATTCGCTAGAGGATTAACAGTTTGAGAAGGTTCGCTGCTGATTTTTGCGCTCTCGACCTTGTCTTCAAAGTGGACCGAGTAGTAGATTTCCTTAGGGAAAAATTGTCTGAGAGTACAATTCCGACCGGTTTCGGTCTCGAGGAAGGGAATTGTAAACTTTAGATAAGGGGAGACACTGAGAATTGTTCCTTCGAGGGCTTTTTTGAATTTATTTAGGAGTGGCAGATCAGCGACCGAGAGTTGCTGACCATTAGGACTGACTTGACTAAAATCTTCGTCTTCGTTTAAATACTGATGCAGAGGATCGCTTCGATCACTAACAGACTCTCCGTAAATGCGTTTGTCATCGAAAGACAATCTTTCCTTTAGTTTTGCTTTTTCGCTGCTATTCAAAACTTCCTCTTTCGTCGTGTTCGCTTGGTCCACTTTGTCACTACTCTTAGAGTCTTCGGAAATCGATCTTGTCTTCGTTTTGAAAAGCTTCAGTGTATCGTACGGATTTAACTGATCGACAATTGCACTTTTCGAAATCTCGGCAAAATGTTCCGAACTCTTGACAAAATTTTTCGAACTAGCATTCACATCCGATTCTTTGGAAGTGTTTACAGAAGTATTTTCGATGCTTTCGTCTAGAAAAGAATTATCCTTCGGCGAAGGCGGTCTGGCGAATTCGTCCATCAAGAACGATTTCTCCAGACGCCAGGAATAGACACTGAAGATCATGGCGGATGTGACATTTTTCACTCGTTTCAATTCCTTTTCCGAACCACCACGCAGAAGAATAGTGGAACCAAGATGAGGATTAGCACAACCCTCAAAGTACATAAGAGTTTTCACCCCCAATTTTTCGCAGGGAAAATTCCTCAAATAGAATTTCTTGCAAGTACCAAGTCTGTACCGGGCGGAAATATGAGCGTCTACCGTATCGACAATATTTGCGTCCGTACATCTTGCTACTCGTTCTAAGACACTTAATTTAACGTTCAAAACCAAAGTCACTCCACACTCTCTGAGTCTATCCTGTGCGAGGCGAGAAACTGAGCGATGGACCAAAACTATATCCGGTCCGAGAGCTGTGATTCGTTTCACAGTATGACCGAGGTAATCATTCTCCTGAAGCATCACAGGTTCTAGACTGAGTAATTTTCCTTCCACTCTTTGGTACATGAGTCCGCAGCGAAGTAGAAGAATTGTGGGATTAGCGATCATTGCGTTCATTCCACGATGGGCGACATTTTTGGTGCAAACGACGCCGGAAACAATTTCGCAGTCGTTCTTACTGCCACCGGGAGATTTTTTTATTTGAACATATTGTCGGATGTCCAAGTCCTCGGCATTGTGATTCAAATCGGGTCGTACGCAGTCGACTATTTGATGGGCGATGGATAGGACAGTTTCGGACCAGTTTTCCGAGAGTCCTTCTTTGTTGAGTAACTGCTTCAGTAACGATTCCTCGTGCTGCTTGTACGCCGACCTGAGAAGGAAAAATTTATTAAATTTTGATCTTTAGAAAGTTGAGAAGATAAATTAAGGGTTGCCAGAAAAATTTGAATTTATTTCTTTCCTGACTTTTTCCTGATTTTCGGACAGAATTTTAAACTTTTCCCTGGGAGTAAAAAATATTTTATTTTGATAACAAAAAATTTCTAAAGCTATATAATTTTAATAATAAAGATCTTAAACTTCATTGTTTGGGCTAATGGTCAAACAAATAAGATTAAGATCTTTAATTATTTTATTTATTTATTTTTTAATTTGAAAATTTTTCTATTAAATATGTATTAAAAAAATTCAACTAATTTAGAAAAAAAATTAATTACATTTTTTCAAAAATTAATAACTTTTTTTAATTTAAATATTAAATAATAAAGATCTTAAACTTCTTTGTTTGGTCTGATGGCCAAAAAAATAAGTTTAAGATCTTTATTATCTAATATTATATTTTACTCTAAAATTGTACACACAAAAAAATTTATACAATACATTTATTCTCGAATATCTTTAATTGTAAAATTATTTAAAACATCCATACTTTTTTTCACTCTAACTTTTGTAAGATTATTTTCCATATTTCAATTCAGTTTTTTAGAATTTTTAACTAAATTTTTATTAAATTTTATTAAAAATCTATTATTTTTAATCATTTTTGAGAAAGTTTCTTGGGAATTCAATTATTTATTCAATGAAAAAAATGGCACCTAAATTATTTCTGAAATCTACTTATTTACAATTCAATTTCATGAAATTTCAACAATTTAAAAATTTTTCTAATATGTATTAAAAAATTCAACTAATTAAGAAAAAAATTAATTAAATATTTTCCAAAATTAATAACTTTTTCAGAATTTTTATTTAAAATTTATTAAATTTCAAAATTTCTAGAACTTCAATTTTAAATCTTTTAAATTTTTTAAATTACTTTTTGTAATATTGGTAACTATTTTTATAATCTTGAATCTGAAATAATTTAATTCTTGTATAGAATTTTAATAAAATTTTTGAAAAAAATTAAATTTTCCTGACGAGTTTTCTACAAGTTTTTGAAAATAATTCATTTCTTTCAAGAAATCCAATTATAATTGTCTTGGCAATATTTAAATTCTTATAAAAAAAATTGTATAAACATTTTTGAAATTTCTCTGAAGAATTTTTTATTTATGAAAATAATTAAAAATTTCTCTTAAGAATTTTTTATTTTATGAAAATAATTGAATTCCTGCAAATATTTTTATTAAAAATAATTAAATTCATCTAAAAAATGCAATTATTTGTGAAAATAATTGAAATTTTACGAAAAATTTTATTAAAAATAATTGAATTAATCTAAAAAATTCAATTCTGTATGAAAATAATTGAATTTTTTCTAATAATTTATAAAAATTTTTTAAAAATAAATTTTTTAAAGGAATTTGATTATAATTGAATTCTTGCGAAGAATTTTAATAAAATTTTATTAAAAATAATTGAATTAATCTAAAAAAATTAAATTATTTATGAAAATAATTGATGGGGCCCCTAATTGATTTCTTACAAAGAATTTTATTAAAATTATTTAAAATAATTTAATTTTTGCGAATAATTTATAAAAAATTTTAAAAATGGAATTTTTTCAAGAAATTTTATCATAATTGATTTCTTGCACAGAATTTAATTAAAATTATATTAAAAATAATTGAATTTATCTAAAGAGTGCAATTAATAATGAAATTAATTGGTTTTTTTGCGAAAAATTTAATTAAAATTGTATTTAAAATAATTGGATTTTTGGAAAGAATTTATCTATTTATGAAAAGAATCGAATTCGTGCAAACACTTTTATAAAATGTTTTGAAAATAATTGAATTATTTTGAAGAATTTTATTAAAGTTTTTGAAAACAACATATAATGATTAGTAAATAAATGATTTTCAAAAATTTTGAATCTTGAATTATTTAAAAATTGAAACTGATGTTTGAAAATAATAAATTTTTGTAATTTACATAGTAATAGTAAATTAAATCATTATAAGAATAATAATAATTTATGAAAATTGTAAATGAAAATGTTATAAAGTTTAATTATCTTTTTAATTTTTGAGTAAAATTATTTGCTAAATAATAAGTCTATGCGATAGTTCTTTAAAAGTTAAATTCTTTAAAATAAATTCAGTATCAATTCTGTAAAGTTGAATTCTTGTAAGAAATAGAAAGAATTTAAAGTTAAATTGAATATTTTCTTTTTTTAAGTTTTTTTTTGTTGACTTTTTAAAGGTAACAAAATTGAAAACTTTCTTATGAATTCTAGAAATTTAATATGTTTGCAGTATTTTTGATAAAATTTCCTAATTTTTCTCTGATTTCCCGGACCAATTTTACTTTCCTTGACTTTTCTCTGAATTTTCTGATTTCTCTGGTCTGTGGCAACCCTGTAAATACAAATTCTGAAATTTACATTAAACAGTTGTATGCGCTAACTTCTCCGAAAGCACTTCGAAAGTTCGTAGCCTTATGCCAACCGTTTCTCTCCTTTGGCTCCTGCACCTGAAGTGTATCACTCAGCACTTCGTCAGTAACTTTCGAATTTCTCTCCAGTGCTTTGATATTAATTTCCTTTCTCTCAATTATACCGTCTCCGCTGTCTATCGAAATGGTCGTCAAGTCTTCCGAGGTCGGTCTCTTTAAAGTAACAGTAGATGCTTCCAAATTCAAGTCCAAATAGAAACTAGAGCTCGATGAAGGCAATCGGGGATGATTTTGAGGAGATAATTCCGGTTGTTTCGATTCACTTTCCGAGTCTGTTGTCGAATCGTGTTGAGGAATGGTTTTCACCCAAGCTGGTTCTTGAGCATCGCATGACGTCTGACTTTCGGTTAGAAAATCCGACGGTTGCATTCGTGGCAATTTCACTGGCTTGAAAATTGCCGATGAATCACTAAAAAAATTATCGGCCAAGACTTGTTCAATGAAGCCTGCTTCGAAAAGTGCTTGTCCTATCGCAGTCGCTTGTATTCTTTGAAGAAAAAATTTTAAGTTAGTAATAATTATTAACTAATTATTAATTAGTAATACTGAAATAATAATAAGAATATTTTGTTCTTTTTTAATGAGAAATATCAGGATTTGATGGAATTTCTTACCTATTTGCTGCTTTATTTTGCGCAATCATCCAATTGACTAATTCACTGCCTATAAAGCAGTTGTAATAACTTTTTAATCTTATTCTATGAGTTTGAAGAATCATAGCTCGATTTGATCGAAACAATTCCTCGTATATCATTCTGAGAGATGCGGAATTTCGTAGAGCGAAGGAGCGTTCTTGTAAAGTTAAATACGTCGAAGAACTAAAAAGAATTGTTAATTAAAGTAAATTCAATTCAATTTAATTAAACTAAACTAAACTAAACTAAATTATTATTATCAATTAAAATTGTTTTAATAATTAATAATTATTGAAAATTTATTCACTACTTTTAGACTTACCGTCCAATAGCGTATTTTTCTTCCATGTAGCCAACACTTGGCTTTCTTGATACCGTTTCAATTTCCACAACGTCGTCAGAACTTCTTTGGCATACAGCTAAAGAATCATTTCCATATTTTACTTCAAGATCTTCTTGAAGGGCTTTTAAATCAGCGGAGAGATCACTTCTCATGTCCGAAGATTGTAAATAGGAAAGTACTACTTTACAACAGTAGGTACATACTCTCAAATCACCTGAAAAAAAATCTTTTTCTTTTATTTTTCTACGAATAAAATTACGTCCCAAAAGTTTCGAACGTTCAAATAAACGCCAACTTTTACATTCTACTTCTATTTTTACCATTTGTTAAATTATATTTATATTTATTAAATTTTTAACTAAATAAATGTTCAATTTCAATATTTTTCATTTCAAACTGATAATTTTTAAAAATATTAGAACACATAAAATAAATTTCGCTCATTTGATTGTTCAAAACTTTGGGGAAACTGCTCCTAAAAATCCTCAATGTTCAAATGAAGGAGATTCACTTGTTTTTTCTTTAACAGGGTTGCCAAAAAATTTAATTTTGTTTTTCCTTAACTTTTCCCTGATTTCCAGACAAATCAGACAAAGAATTTACGAATTTCTTTAATTGTAAAATTATTCGAAAACATCAATAACTTCTTTTTTAAATAAATATTTAATCATTATTATTTTTCTATAAAAATTAAGATTTTCAAATTCAAAATTATTTCTAAATATTCAAGCTATTATAATTTTAATATTTAATAATAATTTAAAATTTTAACTAAAATTCATTTTTTAATCAGTTTTTATTAGAAAATTTTTCGAAAATTCAATTATTTAAATACAAAAATAAATAATTTATTAAATAATTAAATATTTTTTAAAATTGAATTTTTATGAAAAGTTTTATCAAAAATTTTTTAAATAATTGATTTCTTTCGGCGAATTTGAAAAGAAATTTTAAGAATAAATGCAATTTTCTAACATTTTATTTAAAATTGTATTAAAAATAATTGTAATTCCGCGATAAGTTTTATTATTTATGAAAATAATTGAATTCTTGCAACTAATTTTATTAAAAATTTTTTTTAAGAAATGAATTTCGTTAATTGAATTATGTAAAGAATTTTATTTGTGAAAATAATAAAATTCCGAAGAAAAATATTATTCTTTATGAAAATAATTAATTTCTTGTGAAGAATTTTATTTAAACTTTTTTAAATAATTGAATTTCTAAGAATTTTCAAAAACTTTTTTAAAAAAATTGAATTCCATCGAGAAATTTCATTAAAAAATTCGAAAAAAGGAAATCTGACGAAGAATTTTATTAAAATTTCCTAAATAATTAAATTGCTTCGAAGAATTTTATTTTTTACGAAAATAATTGAATTGTTTCGAAGATTTTTACAAACATTTTTAACAATAATTGTATTCTCAGAAAAAATGTTATATTTTACGAAAATAATTGTATTCTATGATGAATTATATTACAATTTTTCAAATTTATAAAGCATTTTTTAAAATTTTTTTTAAATAATTGAATTCTCGAGAAAAATTTTATTATTTATGAAAATAATTGATTTCTTGTGAAGAATTTTGTTTAAATTTTTTTAAATAATTGAATTCCTATAAATAAATGTATTATTTGTAAAAATAATTGAATTCTTAAAAAGAATTGTATTAAAAATAATTTAATTGGTTCGAAGAAATTGATAGAAAATTGGTAATTAATTGAATTCCTGTGAAATTTTTATTAAATTTTTGTTTAAATAATTCAATTCTTTTGGAAAAATTTTGAAAATAATTGAAATCTTGCCAAGAATTTTCTTATTAATGAAAAATAATTAAATTATTGCGGAGGATTTTACAATTCATAAAAATAATTGGATTGTTTCGAAGAATTTTTGAAAATAATTGAATTTTTTGAAGGAATTTTAATAAAAATTTTAAAAATTATGATTTTTTTAAAAGAATTTAATCAAAATTGTTGAAAATAATTCAATTTATATTAAAATTTCTTGAAAATAATAAAATTGAATTAATATTTTTAAAAATAATTATATTTTTTCGAGAGATTTTATTAAAATTGTTTAAAAAATAATTAAATTGCTCTAAAGAATTTTATTGTTTATAAAGATAATTGAAATTTTGACGAGAATTTTTTTTGGAACATAATTGAATTTATGCAGAGAAGTTTATCACTTTTGACAATAATTGAATTTCTGTAATCAGTTGTTCTTAAAATTTCTATTTAAATTCATTAAAAATTGATATTTTCTAAAATTTCAAATTGAAACCTTGGATGTTCATCTATTTACGAAGACTGTAAACGCAACTCTTTTGAAATCCAATTAATTTTGCAATTTTTAAGTAAAACTATTCATTAAATAATTTCTAAGTAATAATTTTATGATAGTTCTTCAAGAATTAATTTTGAAATATTTGAGAAAATTATATTTTTTAAGATGTATATTTGTGTTGAATTTAAGTAAAATTAATTTAGTTGATTAATTTAAGTAAAATTTACCAGTGCAACCCATGATTTTTCCAGGTATTTCATCGCAGCAACATTTTGAACAAAATATTTGTCCACACACCCGACAATGATGTCGTCTTCGAAAAGTGGTAAATCTTTCGCTGCATTCGTAACATTCCTTGCTCACACTATCAGGCATCCAGTAACTACGTAATTGTGAATCTTTATAAGACTGTAAATTCTAAAAGAAATTTTTTAAATTTGGTTTTTAATTATGATAACAGTATTTCTATTCCGTGAAATAAAAAACTTACACTGCTTTTTGAAGCCACAATATTGCTAATTCTTTTTAAGACATTTGGTAAGCTACGCCCTTCACGACTGTCTAGGGAAAAATTAATCATACTTGAACTATCATCCACTGGAGTTTTGTCTCTACTCTCGGATTGCTTCCAAGACTCTGAATCACCAGACGAACTTTGTTCATCATTATTCGGCGATGGTAAAGTCTCATTTGTCTGAACTGTACCTGAAAGGAAATTTACGTTGCTTCATTAATGGAAAAAAATTACTAAACAATTACATCCAACCAAAATCCAAACAAAAATTCGTCAAATTTTTGTTTGAATACAAACTGTTTACATATTGCAAAATTGTTATAAGGTGCAAGTGCAATTTAATAAATTTAATAATTTATTGCTATTATTTTGTCATTAAAAATTTACGAAACTAAAGCACTGAGTGTCTTTCATACTTGACTAATAATTCAAAAAACACAATCAATGGAAACAAATGAATAAATTAAATACAATAACGAATTACAACAATGTAATTACGTCTGGTAAACATTGACATAATAATAAAATTCTAACCTCTTTGCAATTGTTACAATGCGTGATAATATTAAATTTTTACGAAGTAGTTCTAATTTGCTAACTTAGTGAAAACACTGTATGACAAAAAATGAAACATCGACAATAATTAATCTTGCATGGTACTTACTTTTAGTGAAATTAAAAATTTTTGAAAAAAGAGAAGCAACAACTGGTTGGGTTTCCTCTGGACTTAATGGTGCAAACTCCGTAAGTTTCGACGGAGAATTCATATTCTTGTTCATTTTTGCTACTCCAAAATTCTTCTGTCAACGTCATTTATTAAAATTCATGTTGAAATATAATTAAAAAAACATTTATTATGGGAAAGTGATTAAAAATAAATAATTGACAGCTGATAGTATAGCACCTGACAGAAATCAGCTGATTTTGTTTCCATCTGTTGTGAGAACATCATGTCAGAGTGCGCTGTGTTCGAATATTTAATTGACATGCGCGATGAATGAATTTAAAATTTTCCGCGAAAATTGATTTTTTGCAAATCGTAATTAAAACTCTCGAAATCAAAATTAGGGGAATTAAACTAAAAAATAGTAACATTTGACCGATTGTTAGTAGTTGTTATAACTTTTCCCAATTTTTTAAATATCTATTTTTGATAAACTTTCCAGTTAGTAGAATATTACTAATTGTTAGTAAAATTTTACTAAATTGGTAGAATTTCACTAATTGCTATAATTGCTAATCGTCTAATTCACTAAATAAATTAGTGAAACTGTTTTACCGACTTTTAATAAAACAGTTCTAATAATTACTAATTATTACTAAACTTACTAACTCATTTGGTAAACGAATTTTTACCATTTCCTCACTAATTTAGATTTAGGGAGTGAATTAATTAAATATTTTTGATTTTTTCAATCTGTTTTGGTAAATAAATTAATACATGTGAAGCGCTCATAAGAAAAGGTACCCAAAAAATTGTAGGTTATGTTTGCAATTTGTAAAGTGAAAATATAAAGAAAATAAAGTTTTTCTCTGTAAAAACGCGGTTTAAATCTTCATTTGATCAAAAATATTCGATAAAAACTGGTTTTGTTTTAAATTAAACACGGAAACTTTTAATTAAACTGGTAAATATAACACAAACATAACCTTAAAATTCCTTGCTTCTTAGGCAACTTTCTGCGGAGAGCGTCACAAATAAATTAATTTTAAATACTAAATTAACGTATAACTATATTGAATAGCGAAAGCAAAATTAAAATAGAATTTATTCTTTAATTCCAAAATAAAATTTTTCAGTTTTTAATTTAAAAAGCGATAATCTCCAGGATAGTGGTTTCTAAAAATAGTTAGCATAAAGGCAACGACCTAATGTGTCAGTGGAAGGTTAATAATAATGATTTTAATTGAAATTATCAAATTGGCAAGTACAATACGAACGGCATCACGAACATCAACGGCTTATTCGCATTTGCGCAGGTGGATCGTCAGGACTTTCTTATTTAACATCTCTGAGCCAGTCACGCTACCGTTTGAGTTTAGGTCGGGTCGTGTAAATTCGATGGAGCAGTCAGGGGTAGTATTTCCTTGTGGTCAAGAGAGTTGATACACATTTTCCATTCAGCTGGATTAAGTAAATTTTCGTCGATCGAAGAATACCAAGGATGCGATGGGTGAGGGTGAGAGGGACCGTCTCGGCAAAAGGTATTGAGATGTCAATCACTCTTCATTCCTTGATTAAGCATTTCGATGGAAAAGAAAAGAAAAAAAAATTCCGCCAAGTTAAAATTAAATTTTTATCCATTTAAAGAGAATTGACGGTAATTATATTCAATTCTTTTTTTCATTTCGATATTCAATAATTCAATTTAATTCAATAATTTAATTCAAATTCAATTTAAATTCGATTAAAAAAGAATTGAATTTAAAATTCAATTCATTTTTAGTCAATAATTCAATTTCAATTTTAAATTCAATAATTTTATTTAATATCAAATTCAATTCAATTTAAATTCAATTAGGAAAGAATTGAATTTAAAATTTAATTCTTTTTCATTTCGGTTCAATTTCAGTCAATAATTCAATTCAATTTCAATTTTAATTCAATAATTTTATTTAATATCAAATTCAGTTCAATTTAAATTCAATTAAAAAAGAATTGAATAAATTAATTCAATTCTTTTTCATTTCGATTCAATTTTAGTTAAAATTTCAATTTTAATTCAACAATTCTATTTAATATCAAATTCAGTTCAATTTAAATTCAATAATTCAATTTAATTTCAATAAATTCAATTAAATTCAGTTAAAAAAGTATTGAATTTATATTTCAATTCTCTTCCACTTTAGTTCAATTCAATATCTGATTTCAAATTTAATTCAAATAAAAAAGAATTAAATTAATAATCCAATTCAGATAATATTTTTGTGGCCTTTGGTCCAAAGGCCACAAAAATATTATCTGAATTTTAACAATAAGGTCTACAACATTCACTATATTAATAATCCAATTGTTTTCTTCAATATCAAAAATTCAATTTTTAAATTTTACATTGGATAAAATTATTGATTATTATTTTTGTTGAAAGGTAAATATTTTCTTTGAGCAATATTACATTCTAAGAATCGTAATTGTATTTATTTTTCCATATAACTTTCCGAGTTTTCTTAAAAGAAAATTGCAAAGAAAATTAATTATCCGTTTGCAATTAACGATCGAAGTCAATTCGTTTTGCTGAGCAAACAAGAAGTAAAAATTTCAAAATTACATTTAAATTAAGTGGATTAATTAAAAGCTTTAATGAATATTGACCTCTCTTTGTTTAAGTCCTATTTCCAGAAACTAGTAACCATTTATCACGTTAATGGTCAGGGACAGAGGTTCGCACAGGAAGACTCTGTCTCGGACAAAATTTATATAGATATCTTTGATGTGATATTTTTAAAATCTATTTGTAAAGACATTTTAAAACGCATTTCATTATTATTTATCCGTTGGACAAAAATCAATTTCTTGCATAAAGAGGATTACGTTTTATTTTGTAAGTATGTGAAATAAAATAGTTCACAAGTTTTTTACGTTCAAATGAACGAAATTTTTTCACATTATAAATATTTTCAAAAATTATTAGCTTTCATAAAAAGCATAAACAAAATTAAACATCTATCTTTGTAATTAATATTTCTTTTGATATTTGTCGCAATATTATTGCAATAAAAATTGAATTTGAAAAAGAAATAAATAATTTTGTTAAATCTTTTTAATTTAAAATCTTTGTAATTAATATTTCTTTTGACATTGGTCGCAATATTATTACAATAAAAATTGAATTTGAAGAAGAAATAAATAATTTCGTTCATTCGAACGTTCGAAATTTTAGAGGCATAAAATAAACTTGTTTAATTTTTTAAATATAAAAATAATTTGAAATTGAAATTTTTTGAAAATGATTTGAAATAAATTGGCAATTTGTTGAATTATGTTTGCAAAAATTAGTAGTAAATTGAATTAATTATTTAATAGAAAATTGAATTAATTGATTAATTAATTAGTAGTAAATTAAATTAATTAATTAGTAGTAAATTGAATTAATTACTTAGTAGTAAATTTAATTAATTAATTAATTAATTAATTAGTTGTAAATTTAATTAATTAATTAGTAACAAGTAAAGTAGCTCATTATCTAAGCCTATTGTATAATAATAGTCATTATTATTAATTGAGCTTTTATACTACTTAATATAAAAGTAATTTAACTTTATTATTACCCTGTGTACATAGTATACACACAAACTGTGTACTATATCCGTTGCGTGGGAGATTCATTGATGGTTTGCATTCATTGATGTCTTCTTATCAAGCTATCATTCACATCCATAGACTGTCATTCCTGAAAATAAAAAAATTTATTAGTCTAAAATATTCATATTTAAAAATTTCTATTTTTCTATAATTAAATTAAAAATATTTCTGAATTAAATTTAAAATCTATTTTATTAAAAAGTATTAAATAAATTCTTTTTATATTTAAGTAACTACAGCTATAGAAATAAAAGCATTGTCTTAACGTTTACGAAAGCTGTAAGAAAAAAGAAGTATTCGCTTTAAACGGAAAATGATTGTTGAAACATTTCCTCAAACAAAATCAATAAATAAAAATTGTTATTTTTCTACAAAAGAAAAAAACAGTGAGTGCAATATATGGAAATAATATTACGGACTATTTTAGTTTAATATATAGAAAAAAAATAAACTGAAATATATTTCCACTTAAATTGAAATAGAAACTTGATTTATTAGACAATCTTATTTAACACTCTAGTATATTCATAAAAAAATAATTCTATTCATTTATTAAAATATAGAAATACACTCCCTAGAATCAAATTTCACATTCTCTCAAAACACAGAAATAGAGTTCTAAAATGCCTTTCACCATAAAATTATTTTTTTTATAGAAAATAAACTGTCACTGACGAAGGCTCCCAAATGAGCAGAAACGTTTGACAAAATTTAAATAAAGAATTATCTTTTCTTTAACTTTTTAACTTTTTTTTTTTTTTTTTTTTTTTTTTTTTTTTTTTTTTTAACTTTTTAATGACGATACTACATTCAACCAAATATTAGAAAAAAATAATAAAATTATTAACTCTCTAAATTTGAATTAGTAAAAATGTTTACTAATTTGAATTAGTGACTGACTTTTTGCTTTTGAAATAGAAAACTTAATTAATTTTACTAATAAATAGTAATTTCTACTGATTTATCAATAAAATTTACTAATCCGAAAGCAAAAGACATTTTTATTAATTCAAATTCAAAGAGCATAATAAAATTCATATTATAACAAAATTATTTGGATGCTTGTCTCATTTATAAATAAATTATAAAAAGTTGGAATAAAATTAATAATAACAGTCTAATAATAATAGAAAGATAAAAATAGAATTACGTAATAACAGGAATTTGTCACTTGGTACAAATATTGATGAATAGAATGAAATAGAATAGAATAGAATTAAATAATTAATTAAATCAAGTTAATAATAAAATTTTTATCAGAAAAAATATAAAACATAATATAAAAAGAATAATAATAATAATGATAATAGTAAATAGCTCTAGTAATGAACCTTAGAAACGAGGAATTATTACACTGTTTTTTCTGCTTCTCTTTTCGCATTATATTAAAAGTGCTTTTTAATGCGCAAAAAAAAAAAAAAAATTGCCCCAGTTATTAAGGTCATTCTGAATGAGCATTAATGATGATTGAAAAGAGTGTAATCAGATTGATGATAGAAGAATTTAAGGCAAGTTTTAATTTCCTGATTTTCGATCGAAATTGATGACCTGCCAAACCTATCATTATTCATACTTCTTCTTTATCTGATTATATCATAATAACCAGTGAATACGTACTATAGACGTTCCTTTGTAGTCTCTTTGATTCCTTTTTATATAAACTCTGCAAATATCCTCTAATTGAATAAGCACTCGTACCCTGTAAACATAAAGAACATTTTTTAATATATTATAATTATTATATAAAGAATAATAAAAATATTTAAAATGATTATAATATCTTCTTAAAAAAATAATTTTCGAATAATTTTAAAATAGTCTTTAAAATATTTTTCAGATAGTCTTTAAAATAGTTATGAGATAGTATTTAAAATACTATCTCTTTTTTCTATACTATTTTTTTTAAATCCAAACAAAATAAGAGCAAATATAGTATTTAAAACAGTCTTTAAAAACTTTAAAATAGTTTTAAGATAGTCTTTAAAAAATTGTTGTCTAAAAGGCGAAGTATTTAAAAAATTCAAGGAAACTTTTAAAGAACATAAAACTGAATAAGGTTTATAGACCATAAATCTGGTATTCCACCTCTAACATAAAAAATCATTTTTGTTTCCAAAGGAGTTACCATTTAAGAAAATAGTTTAAAGAATCCTTAAAGCGGATACATAGACAAGTTTGAACCCGAGGAAAATATTTTTCGAATTCATTACAAAAAATATTTTACTCCGAGACTTTTTTTCCAAATGAATAATTTATTTGCCTCAATATCAAAATTTGCATTTTGAAAAAGAAAAAAAGAGTGTGATTTTAAATCGCTCAAAGATAAAAACATCAAAATATTTTCTGCTCGATTTTATTTTGTGCCCATTGAATTCCTCTCAAGAAAACTACTATAAAAACAATTTTATGGAATATTTTAAGTATTTTTTTTAAATTATTAAAAATATCGGTGAACCTTCCTCTTAAAACGATCAAAACATCAGTTTTAAAAAATTAGTAAATGTGTGAAAACAAAAATATTTAGAAATAAGAAAAAATTATTCATCTAAAAAAAATGTGCATTTTGCAGACTTCACACTCAATAATTAATTTTAAAAAAAGTATCAAAAAGTAGCTTTAATATTGAAAAAAGTAGATAACGAACATTAATTTTAACAAATAAAAAAAAATTGTTCTAGTCGATTCACAAAAATTTAATTCAGTATTTCACTGACTGTTTCCTGATTTCAATCAAAAGTATTTATTTTTATTTTAATCCTGCTTCTAAATTTGGAAAAATTCAATTATTTTTTAAATTTTTATCCTAAAGAATACAATTGTATTCAAAAGTCATTTTTGAAAGTAAACAAATAAAATTATTTAATAAAATTTAATTTAAATTCTTCACAGAAATTAAGAAAAT